AGTCTTAATTCAGTTCTGCCACTAAACTCTGTATTTTGACCTATGTTTGGAATAATCTACTCCATATCATATAGAGTCATGTTATTTTAGAGCTAAAGGGACCTCTTACTATGTTGTCTAATTCTTTTCTCTAATGAGGAAACAGGTCTAGGAAGATGAAAATCACACAGCTATTTAGAGGCACAACTAAGACTCTTAAGTATTTAATAGTAATGCAAGCTGGATAGTCTAGATAAGAGAATGGTGAGCTAACACCAGGACTACCCCTGATGGACAACTAGAACCAAAGAGCATGATGTCAAGTAATCAGTGTGGAAGGACAGCCAGTGGTCAGCCAGGAACAGATAAAACTGAGGTCCTGCAGAGGCAAAGGTAATTCAGAGATCATCAGGAACAATATAAATAATGGCCCTCAAACTTTAGTGTGCATAAGAAACAACTGGGAGCTTATTAGAAATGGATTTCTCTGGGTCCTACCCCATAGAGCCTGGCTCAGTTATACTGGGTGGGGCCAGAGAAGGGGCATTTTTAACAAGCCACCCAGGTGATTTTGATGTAAATGATTTGAGGACACCTGCTGGGAAGCAGTAAACATTAATCTAAGGTAGAAGTGTTGTTGGCTTCCAGAATCTAGCTTTTGGCCACTGGAAATGGAAGACTCAGGGGTAGGTTGGTTACAGGTCTACACCTCTACCAGTAGGTCAGAACACAAGTTGGGGAGAATAACATAGAGATCACCCCTGCAGAAATGAGTAAATTTAGAATTTATAATTTAAAGATTGATGGCAACCAGAAGTGACTCACCGGAATTTCTGTCTTCAGATGCAATCATCTGGGGGGAAGAAAGCTTTTTAAAAACTATACTCTCCTAATGGCCTAGCTCTATAACGCACAAGCAGCAAGTACTGTGGTGCTATTTCTATATTAATATTTGCAAAGAATTTTTTTAATATAGACTTTCTCATTTGAACCTTCTAGTACCCTTTAAAATAGAATAGGTGCTATTTCCTCCGCTTTACTGATGAATAAACATGCCTGAGTTCACCTAAGTAGCAGAGAGGAGACTAAAACCTACATTTTCTAAATCCCGGCGTAGTGGAAGCAGAATAATGTGGCATAGACTGTGAGCTTTGGAATCAGGCAGACCTGGATGGAACTTTAGTTCCATTATAAACAATGTGACCTTGAACAACTTACTTACCTTCTTTGAATTTCAATTTTCTTATCTGTAAAATGGAGATAATAGTATCTTCCTCCTGGGATTGTTAAATTAGATAATTTTTAAAATACACCTGGCACATAGTTGCTGAGTGAATGTACCACCTCAAGGATAAGTAGAAGAGAACCAACTTAAGAAAATGATAATTTAGCATAGGGAACACATACCAAAGTTGAGATCTGATTCCAATTAATTTGAGTAGCATATTGAGGGAATTTTGAGCTTATGGGTTGCCTTGAAACCAAAACTAACTCAGTACCACTGGCTACCCGAGTTGTTGTCAATCAATGTAGTAATTAAATTGCTTTTAAGGAGCTCAAGGTTGTACAGACAAAAGGATTCTCCTAAGAATTTGGGGTTGTGCCAGACATGTTGAAAAAGTGATGCATCAACTCCTCAGTGTGTCTATGCTGAAGTATCTTGTATGTTTGGATGCTCCCCACTTCTGTGCCCCTCGGTGACAGAAGACGTTAGAACGTCCGTTAGATTGTGAAAAGGGTAAGGATGGAGAAGGCAGAGAAGCCCTGCACTTCTATCCCAGTGTAATCGGTCAGCATTCATTGAGTGTCAGAGGCCTTGCTGCCCTTTAGGATTTCAGGGTCTAGGAGAGGAAGTCCGTCAATGTTGAATACGAATACCGCAAATTATTTTGTGAGTGGCGGTCTGTGTCCCCAACAGTATTCTAAGCATTACGTATTGAGCAGTACAAGCAGATATATAGCAAGTTGTAAATATCCACTGTTGGGATTTTTATTTTCGTGGCAAAGCAGTCCTGGAAGAATATCCCACTTTGGTTCCCAACACAGTAGTATCTGATTCACAGCCTTGAGAAGCGGCATTGCCTGCTGGAGAGGCCTGCATGAAGCAGGACGGAGGGGACTTGAGCTTCCATGCTGCTGTGTGTGACCTACCACATCTTTTACCCGAAGCCAATGACTTAACCAATCTTGTGCCCTGCTTTTTTCATTTGTAAGCTGGGCACAATGATTTAGATTCTGCCTCCCTCATGGCAAGGAGTGTGATGCAATGACATAATAAATGTAGAAGTTCTGAACAGATAAACACAATTCCGGAGCTAATCTTCATCCATTTGCCACCAGGTTTATACTGCATTTCACCGAGCATCCTTTTATCTTCTTTTATATTTCCTTATTCCTTTATAACTCAGAGTCTTACAATTTAAAGAAAAAAAAGGGGGTGAGCTCGGAACTATTGTGTTTATTTGCACTTAAATTTGCCTCCGTCATTTGTAGCTCAGTGTGCTAACTTTTGCAGGGAAGATCAACTGTATTGCCTAGGGAAGAAATTCATTGTGCCACCTTGGCATGTCAGCATTTATTTACACAAAAACATGACTTCAGGCTGACAGGCCTTTAAGGCAAGCAGCTGGTTGATGAATCATATTCAGTATTCCTATAGTGCTGCTGGCACATATCAGAAGGACGCTCCCGGTCATCACCTGCCCCTGTCAGTTCTCCCTCTTCTAATAGAGTACATCTGTTTTGGTGACTGAATAAAAACACACCAAGTGGAGAAAAGCTGGGTGTGGGGTAATTTAATCAGGGCAAGTTAGCATGCTGTGTTGAGCAATACAGTATCAAGGACGGAAAGATGGTTTGGTGACAGTGAAACACAAGTAGCCGGAAGCACAATTCTTATAATGGGTCACACTCCTGGAATGTAGGGCCCTCAGTACACCCCCTGGATCATGATTTTTAAGGGGACAAGATTCCCAGAAGTTCCCTTCTGAATTGCCACAAGCATTTTACATGACCTTTCTCTATTAACATCATTTTAACATTTCACTAAGGATTATAAATTTTTAAGGAAGTTCAAACCAAAGTTCAGAGCTCTACTAGCAATTCTTTTTAATATTGGCTTTCGTGGCTATGTCTGGTATCCTGAAAAATTAATTGATTTAAAATACCCTAGTTTTAAAAGTAAAACAGCAGGGAGACTGACATTTCCAGGCTGGTATTTTGCATTTCTCACCACCCATTGTATTTTTAAAATTTTTTTCTTTGTTGTGACTATCCAGTAATATACAATTTTGTGTTTTGTTTAAAAGAGGAGAAATTGAATGTGTTCAGGATGCCTGTCTGCCTTGAATTTCATCATCTCATGGAGCGATTGGCAATGGGAGGAGAATAATTAGGGATATGCAGAATGTCTGAAATGCTGTTAAGTAAAAATAACAATATGACTGTAAGTTGTAGCTTTAAGTTTTTTTTCTTTCTTTTTTTCAATGATTCACCTGGTAGTGTTTTTAAAGTCATTACTTGCTGAGAAAAGAATCACTATCCAAGATGAAAAAACCAGGAACTTCAACAACAGTAGCTCCTTTATTTCCATTTCTAGTTCTTTGGTGATTACACTGTTCTCTTTTTTACTTAAGCCATTTTCACCTCTGTGTGTGTATTTTTTTCTTCCATGGGACAAAATCTGTGACAGCTGATATTTTATTAACAGGTGTTCTGGAAATAATCTATTTCAAAAATAAAACACTAAATATAGCACACAAGTTCAAGGCTTTTGAATGTTATTATGGTTTTTTTAAAAAAATCAATCTAATGAATGCCTTACATTGAAACCACTTATTGTTAGGAAACCGGTGGCAAATGATACATATATCCTCTAGTTCTGTCATCATGGCTTAATTCTCTCCTCACTCAGATCTCATATTAGCATTTTTACCATATGGCTGAAAGGGTAGAGAATGTATGTGCAGAGGAACAGAGTCAGTAACATTTTTTACCATCTGGTAAATACATGTGTAAGTAGCAGGAGTATTAGTATTTATTTAGTTGTATGGATGCAACCTTTAACCTGAAATAACCACTAATACAGCAAAGTAGTAGTAGATTTGTATTTCTCAAATAATTTCAATCTAACTTATTAAACATTTTCAGTCTATTAGTGTTCTTAAAATGACTCCTAATTGTATATTTATTATGTTTATTAATTTAGTAGGGCTCCTTACAGTGCCAAATTTAAAACATCTTTCATGAGAGGCCACATGATTGTATCCAGCACATGGGCATGAGTGCTGAAGTTCTGCTCTGCCATTAGCCACTGTGTGGCCTGTGATAAATTACTTGGCCTCTCTGAGCCTCAAATTCTTCATGTGTAAAGAGTAAATAACATACTGTCAGACAGTATCCCTCAAGGGGTGGGCCATGAAGGACCATGGATTAATGCATCAGAATCACATGGGGAGCTTGTTCAAAATACAAACACCTGGGGCGCACCCTCAGCACGATTCTGATTCGGTATGTCTGGGAACAGTCTGTGAATCAGCATTTTTATTCACTGTCCCAAGTGATTCTGAAATATACTGAAGCACTGCTATAAAGACTAGATGATTATAGAGGACTTAGCTACCTTGAAAAATACATAGCTAGCTAATTTTAATAAATACACTTTTTATATCATAGAAATTTAACACTCCACAGTATTCGTGCTTAAAATATTTTAACTTCACAGCAGTGCTGTCTTGCCTTCCACCTTTCACCACTTGAGGACAGAGCAACAAGGCATCACCTTGGAAGCAGAAAGCAGCCTCACCAGATACGAATGCCAGCACCTTCATCTTGGACTTCCCAGGCTCCAGAACTGTAATAAATAAATTTCTGTCCTTTACATTAATTAAAAAAAAAAAATTCTAACTTCACAGAAAACAAGAGGTCAGTTTGCACTAAGTAATGGTACTGATTCATTAAATATTCCTCACAAGTCTCCTTTTTGTTTAATTAGATGTTTTATCTTTTTTTCTTTTGTGCAGGAAATAGCAAACTGTTTGTGGACTAGATCGAAATCAGGAGCCCAGATGAATTTAAAGAAACTAGCATGGGATTCTTAGTTTTTCAAGATCCATACACACCAAAGCTTTAGTCACCACCAACTCCAGGGTACAGGTTTTCTCTGGTTTTGTGAAGACTGAGCAAAACTCTGATGATGGAAAAGCTAAGGACTTAATTACTTGCTTCGGTGTCATCGAAAGTCAACTAAAAAGTGAACCAGACAGTGATAACAGCCATGGAAAGAAATTCAAGTTTGTGGAAGAACCTAATAGATGAACACCCTGTCTGCATAACGTGGAAGCAAGAGGCGGAAGGAGCCATTTATCATCTTGCCAGTATTTTATTTGTAGTAGGTTTCATGGGTGGCAGTGGATTCTTCGGGCTCCTTTACGTCTTCAGTTTGCTGGGGTTGGGTTTTCTCTGTTCTGCTATCTGGGCTTGGGTAGATGTCTGTGCAGCTGATATATTTTCCTGGAATTTTGTACTGTTTGTCATCTGCTTCATGCAGTTTGTTCATATTGCATATCAAGTTCACAGCATAACCTTTGCCCGAGAATTCCAGGTGTTGTACAGCTCCATTTTCCAGCCCCTGGGGATCTCTTTGCCCGTCTTCAGAACGATCGCTTTGAGCTCTGAAGTGGTTACTTTGGAAAAGGAACATTGTTATGCCATGCAGGGGAAAACTTCCATTGATAAACTCTCCCTGCTTGTTTCAGGAAGGTTTGTACCCTTGGTGTTTGCATGTCTTTTCTCTATATTAGCTATTTATTTTTATTTCTTTCCACGATATTTTTTCCATCTCAGAGTAACATAGTCCTGGGTGGCATTTAGCACCCTGAGGCTTGAGAAAGTTTTTGATACATGAGTCATAGACATAGGCATTTAGAGTACACAGTATTATTTACTGAAAGCAGGAAATAATCTAGAGCCATAACATTTCATCTTAGAAATCAAATGATATGAATCTTAAAGTATGAATTTGTTTATCTGGGTATGATATTTGTTTCCTAGCTAATCACTGAGAGTGAAGAAGAGGATGATGCCAGCCTGAATTAATAGAATACTTACGTTGGCATGCAAAGTATTTTTAAAAGACTCTTTGATATCATTTAAGAGTAATAGAGAACATTTAAGTTTTATAATTATCAATTTTTTTCAGAAAATTCTAGCAATTTCCCACTTGCTAGAAGCAGGGAGGGGGTACATCAAAAATATATTATAGAAATCTTGGCCAGGCGCGGTGGCTCTCACCTGTAATCCTAGCTCTCTGGGAGGCCGAGGCGGGTGGATTGTTTGAGCTCAGGAGTTCGAAACCAGCCTGAGCAAGAGCGAGACCCCATCTCTACTAAAAATTAGAAAGAAATTAATTGGACAACTAAAAATATATAGAAAAAATTAGCCAGGCGTGGTGGCGCATGCCTGTAGTCCCAGCTACTCGGGAGGCTGAGGCAGGAGGATCGCTTGAGCCAGGAGTCTGAGGTTTCTGTGAGCTAGGCTGACGCCATGGCACACTAGCCCGGGCAACACAGTGAGACTCTGTCTCAAAAAAAAAAAAAAAAAAAAAAAAAAGAATATAGAAATCTAAACTTTGAAAAGAAAGTTTGGGGAGAAAACAATAATGGGACTATTCATGTTTTTAAAAAGATTAAAATTTTAGTGTACAGAGGTATTTACAGCAGAACTCCTTTATGTCCTTAAATGTTTGCCTACTTAATTTAAAATCTGAGTATACTGAAACTTTTTATTAAAGTATAATATGCATACATAAATGGACCTATATCATAAATGTACAACTTGAATTTTCTGATGAATTTCACTCAATATTCTAGAATCCTGACTGTGTGAGGAACATCAGTACATGAATCTTATAGGATATTATGTCACTATTATATGAATTTAATATTTTGTCTTTCAAAATTCTAAAGAACAAAAAAAAATTCTAAAGAACAAAAAAAAATCATCAGAGATCTGAAATACATTTCCCCTGCCCCCTGCCCAATTATGTATTCTCTTATCCTTCTTTCATAAATAATGTTTTTGTGTTTTGGTAGGATCAGAGTGACAGTTGATGGAGAATTTCTGCATTACATTTTCCCCTTTCAGTTCCTGGATTCTCCTGAGTGGGATTCACTGAGACCCACAGAGGAGGGCATTTTTCAGGTAAAGCATAACTAGACTACACAAGTAACGCTCCTTCTTCCAGACAGACAATGTTTGCTTAAAAACAAGCAAATAAACAAACAGAACAAGAATCGTGTTTAAATTGAACTTTGGCATGTACCTTGACAGCATACCTGACTTCCCAATTCTGTTTGACTCCTGTTGGTTAATGCCATTTTATAGGTCCAGCAACAAGAAGAACAGGTATATTAATGTATGACAGGAAGGAGTACACGATAAATATTTTTAAACTTTACTTTGCATAACTACATATTTGGGAATTAAAATATAATTAATTGAGATTTGACTAAACACTACTAGTGTGACGGTTTAGAAAACATCAAGAACAAAAAACTGTACTTATTCAAAAATAAGTGATTTTTAAAATTCAAAATGCTGATGGATTTCAGTTGCTCTCCAGCAACAGAATGCTAAATTTATTGTCACTATTCTGCTGCCACATCTGGTAGTTTTAAGAGATAATCATTACAGTAGGCTCCATTTATTGTGCTATACTGTTTTCCTATGAATTATACATATAATATACATATGTATGCAAATACAAACTCATATATATGTATGCATATATAAATTCTATTTGTACTATAGAAACTGTGTTAGGGTTAAATGTCTACAGCCTTCAGAATTGACTTGGAAATACTTCTCTAACATTAGCCAATTTTTTTTTTATTATGTTTAATATCAAGTAGCTCTCCCTTCAATAAAATACAAAATATAGCTACCCAAACTCAGAAAAACAGATAAATTGGAGATGGGCACGATATTGCAATCATTCATATTATAAATTATAAGTGTAGTAATAAATTTTGTAGTTTCTTTTTCCATTTTGACAGTATATTGTGGGTCAGTGGGCTAGTTTAACCTAAAGAGGGCAGCAAGGGAAATTAATTTAAAATTTGCGGTAGAAAAAAATGTGGCAGAACTTTTCTTGCTTCCTGATATTTGTTTCTGTATGGTCTTATGTTTTTTAGGTAACCCTCACAGCAGAAACTGACTGTCGATATGTGTCTTGGAGGAGAAAAAAATTATATTTGCTCTTTGCTCAGCATCGTTACATCTCCCGCCTGTTTTCAGTTTTAATTGGCAGTGACATTGCAGATAAACTCTATGCCTTGAATGACAGAGTATATATAGGAAAAAGATACCACTATGATATTCGGTTACCCAACTTCTATCAAATGTCAAGTCCACAAATACGCAGATCACCCCTGACAGAACATTTTCGGAATACCAGACGATATTGTGATAAATGACATCAAAGTCTGAAGTTTTATAACTGTAAAAAAAAGACTCTCTTCATCATTCCCCAAATTAAATAGCAAATTACAGAAAATTGAGCTCACTGGTATTTTTATAAATCAAATTCAGAGGCGAGATGCCACTGCCAGCTGTTTTATTCATCTCAACTTCTGCATTGTGAATAAATTTTACAAATTTTTCTTGTATTTTTTATTATTATAATTGGGGGAGGGGGATGAACAATTACGGGCAGTTTGTCCTTTTCTGCATCAGAACTGGGTGAATGAAATTTCACATTCTCAAATATTTTCTCAGATTTACTCCGTGTGAACTGTCCTGCCCTACTCACTTAGGTTTTGCTTCTCAAGAAGCAGCCAGCAAGTATTCTCAGCATGAGAGAAGGTTGCTACTGTCCACATAGGCATTTCCAGAATTCACTTTTTTGCTATGACCTCTGATAAAGCAAGATGTATTATTGTGGTGGGCAGCAATTATTTATTTTAACTGTGAAGTTATTTGATAAGACTAAAAAGTAGAGTAAATGCAAGACATAATACTATGCCAATCTCAAAGACTATTTTATTGCTATTAATACAAATAATTCCTAAGCTTGACCTTCACAGTAACATTTAAAAAGAGGCATTTCATGGAAAACAAAGCTGCCTAATAATTACTGAATAAAAAGAATACCTGTTAACAAGTAGTAAAAATGTTGCACAGCATTTCCATTTCACATGTTCAGCTGAAAGGGCAAGATTCAGTGGTTTGACTGGACAGTAAGGGACTCATGGTGAATGCTCACCCCACCACGCAGACAGGAGTCTGCCTTACAGCCATTCCTTCAGCTTTGTGACAAGCTGTAGAAAAGACATAGATACTTAGTTGCGGATCTGATTGCTGTCTTTAGAAAACTGGTTTTCATGTGCAGGCCATGTTCTTCAGTAGAGAGATTTGTTATCATACATTTAAGGTGTATTGAGCACCTTCTGTGGCTCCAGGTGCTGACCTGGGCACTGGGGATGCATCAGATCCTAGGTGGAGACCCCATCCCTTATGGAGCTTACATTCTGGGAGTGAGGGAGACAGTAAAATAAATCAGGAACACCTATAGTTAGAAAGCGATAGTGTCATGGAGAAAGATAAATCAGAGAAGGTGGACAGAAAAATTGCAATTTTAATAGGGTGGTCAAGGAAGGCCTCAGCAAGAAGGTAATGTCTGAACAAAAAATCCTACAAGAGGCAAGAGAGCAATCCATGCAGATACCTGGAGAAGAGCAATCTGGGCAGAAAAGACAGCAAATGAGCAGCTCCTTTGGCAAGAGCATGACTGGCCTGTTGCAGGAGTGGCCGGAAGACCAGCATGGCTGGAGCAGAATGAACACTAATGAGAGACAGAGGGAACTATGGGCAGACTGGGTGGGGCCTAGAAAGTCATGGTAAGGGCTCTGAGTTTTATTCTGAAAGTGACCAGAGCCATTGTGGGGTTTGAAGTAGAAGAGTGATGTGATCTGCTCTATGTTTTAATGGGATCTCCATGGCTAGTCTACTGAGAACAGACTAGGGGCTGGAAAGACAAGAGTGGACCTGGAAAAGAAGGTCGGGATTAAGAGTGAGAAGATGCTTATTAGATACTGAAGTAGAGTAGGTAGTCAGATATATGAGTCTGGAGTTCAAGAGAAAGGTCTGGGCTGGAGAGACAGATTTGGGAGTATTTGGCATGTAGATGGGTATTTAAAGCCATGAGCCTAGATGGCCAAGGGAGTGAATGTAGATTCATAAGAAAAATGTCCTGAGGACTTGCCTTGGGGCACTCCATTATTAAAGAGACTGGGAGGTGGGGCAGGGTCAGCAAAGGACCTGAGAAGGAGTGGTCAGTGAGGCAGGAAGAAAATCAGGAGAGTGTGGAGTCCTGGAAGCCAAGCAAAGAAAATGTTTCAAAGAGAAGGGAGTGATCAACTGTCTCAAATGTAGCTGAGAAGTCTGAGAATAAACCATTGGACTGAGCAATGTGGAAGTCACGAGCAGAAGCAGTTTTGGTGATGTGATTAGGGACAAAAACTTGACTGAAGCAGGTTAAAAGGGAATGGGAGGCAAGAAGTTGTAACAGCAAGGAGAGGTAAGTTTTTCAAGGAGTTTGATGTGAAGGGAAATAGAAACGAACAGTAGCCGGAGCAGGGAGTCGGGTCAGGAGAGAGGTGGTTGCTATTAAGATAAGATGGCACATTTGCATGCAGATGGAAATGATCCAGAAGCAAGGAGTGAATTGCTGGAGTGATGACCTCGAGCAGGTGAGTGATGATGGGATCCAATGGCCCCAAACAGAAATGTGGACAATTCATCATTAGTAAGGGCAGAAGACAGAGGATATTGAAGAGTAGTTGCTGGCAAGTGGGAGATGTGGTGAGAGCTCATGAAAGTTCTCTAGGATAACTTCTATTTTCTCAGTGACCTAGGAAGCAAAGTCAGCAAGGAGGAGAGGGAAGTATTGGGGTTATGCAAAGTACATCATTTTTTGTGTATAATAGCATCTGCCATAAGTGAGACAATGTGACAAGGTCTGAATCAGTCTGGATGAGCTACTGAGCTATTCAAGTTCAACATGAACTTAAAGAATAGTTGGGATGGTTTCTTCTGTCTCCTGGTCACACATAGCCATCACAGGCAGCTATTCAAAGCAGACACAATGGCAGCTATCTGCCAGGTGCAACCGAAGGCTTCAGGAAGCACCCACTGGCTTGTCACTGGGCTTCACAATGCCTCTGGGAGAAATTCATTTCCTTGAGGCTTTAAGACTTTGTGGTATTTGTTAAGTATTTAAATGCAGAGCGTCCCAGGTAAAGTCACACCTTAAGTTAGTACCAGTTAATAATTTTAATACATGTTAATTATCAGATAGCTTTCTAGCCATGAAAGTCACCTGAGAACAAAGCCACAGAGAAATGGGATGTAGGTTTTTGGCTCAAATCATGTGGCAAAGGGAGAATGAGAAGATATTATAAATAAGTTTTCAGAAATTGAACTATTTTTAGGATAGGGAGGAAGGAATACAAATGTAATGGGATAAAGGGATGCTTTCAAACCTCAAGATCTTAACTTTTGTGTAGGGCTGGCACCATCCCTTAGTATTCAAGATATGCTATTATCCAACACCTTGCTTTGCACCTAGGTTTTCTCACTTTATATAAAAAAAAAAGCCAACAGTGACCTCTATGTAACTACACTGTACATCTGGTTTGAAACGTCTAGCTGGCACATTTTATTATCTTATAATATGCTAATCATCCAGATGGAAAGCAGAAATGACAAATACCCTAGAAAAGTACCCCTCTATCACAGTGTAGTAAAATTTTATTTCTATTAAAAATTGAGCTCATTTTAGTCTTAGTCTTATTGTTTATACCCCTAAATTCCTCTGGTTCTTTTATCATTGATAAGAGTGCGATAAGATGAGGAACAGCCTGTGTTCTTGTGTTAAAAATGCTTTATGGCTTTGTATAAAAGATCTGTATATTCATAAATAAATGAAGCTCCTTGTTCAAAGAGTATTAAACATTTCAAGACAGAGACACAGCGAGCATTAAACCAAGTGCGGGGCTCTTGCAAGCCTGAGGCCCTTTGTGACCACCCAGGTCCCATGCCCAGGAAGCTGGCCTTGGGCAAGAGTTGTTCCTATGGCTTTAAGGAATTGGGGTGATTGCCTTGTGATTTTCTGTCCTAAATTTCGTGGTCAGGAGAGACTTTGAGAAGTAGTGTGAGAGGGAAAGGGAGTGGCTTTGGTGCAAAATGAGCCCATAAACATCCCTACCCCAGTCACCAAGGCTAGTTCCCCGAGGTTGTAGGCCCCTCTTGCACAGCCTTTACTTCACCTGGATACTTGGAGGATTCCCATCCCCTTTGAGCTATTTCTGTGAACCTGTGCAAATAGAAGGAGGGACTAGCCTGATTTGCCTTGGACTCTGCACCCCTAGGAACTCATAGTCCTTAGATTAATCTACCATAAAGAATAGGATGATGCTCTCTGAGCACTTACAGATTGAAGAATTTTTCTCTCCTTTTAAACAGAGGAGCAACATGAAATTCATTTGATCTCTGCTCATCTGGATAAGCTCTAGATGTCACATTGTTACATTGCCCAGACCCAGAAGGACAGAATTGATTTGACAGAGCAGTTACAAAGTGAAATCTCCTAAGCTGATAAGAGCCATAAGAAAAACAAACTAGACAGTACATATTATTATAAAATAATACATTTACAATATTATGTATATGAGATGCCTGGTTTGACACATGGCATAAAACACACATGTGCGGCATTGGATGGCACTTTCTAATTGGATTCCATCTTCCCCTATATTGCACATCATTAAAGAAATTAACCACCAGAAATGATACTCCAGAGGAGCCAAGATGGCGGACGAGAAAAGCCGCTAGTCAGAGTGTCTCTGCAAAAAAGACAGATTTTAGAAGAAAGTGAAAAAAATAAACTGGGATTAAAAACATAGATCGGGTGAAAGTCGGAAGGAAGGGTGCCTGACACTACAGGAGACTCCATGGGAAGACGTTGTGGAGGAGAACTGGAAAGAGAAAGGTCCCCGAGAGGCTGGGAGACCAGAGACAAGGGTAGGTGGAGCAGATAACTTTCCCCTCCTTTGCATCTTGGACTGTTGGTGGGCTCCTGAGTGGTTGGAGAGACCTGCCGATACCAGCCCAGAGACAGCTGCCGCCAGCGAGCGGTGGCCTCTTGCGGACAGGGCACCAGGCTCCCAGCTCCCTCGGGGCACCTCCCAGCACGCAGACCCGAGTTTATTGGCAGACACCATATTGCTCCATTCTCTCCTTCCCCTTCCATACCCGTGGGTGCCCAGAGAGACAATTTAGCCATCACACGGAGGCATCTCCAAGGAACGGGACCTTTACTTTTGGGGCCCTACAGCAGACTGAGGGGTACTCAGACTGTGAGCTCCCTACCCACCAGCCCTCCCAGGTGCTGCTTGCCTGGGGACTCCAGGAGAACGGGGAAAATCCCGAGGTGGAGTGAAATGGATCCAGCTTGGGCACCCTGTAGGTGATTCAAGACCAGCAACCCTCCCCCTGGCAGGGTCAGGGATTGATTTCCAGGGCCCAAGGGACAGGCCTGCAGACCAGACCCCGTACACCCAGGTCACGATCGCACTGCCCCGGGGGCACAGAAGGGAGATCTGTGAAA